TATAGCTAAACTCATCATCAGTAAATGATTTCTACATTTGTCAATAGTTTTTTCGTGAGCCTGCAGAAAACTGTCAATTTTGCTCCTTTTTCGTTATCATTGATATAGCCAAACTGCTCAATCAGCAAACGATTTCTAGGTTATCCAGATCTCTTTCATTAGACAATAGAAAGCCGTCAATTCTGGTTCTCTTGTTTTGTTATCATGTTTATAGTCAAACACATCAATGAGCAAATAATTTCTACGTTTATCAAGTTCTTTTTTATGAACTTGCAGAAAATCGTCAATTTTGTTCATTGTTTTCGTTATTATAGTTATAGTCAAACTCATCAATCTGCAAATGATTTCTAAGTTTATCAAATTCTCTTTCATCGGATTGCAGAAAGCCGTCAGTTTTTTCTCTCTTGTTTTGTTATCATGGTTATAGCCACACTCATCAATGAGCAAATAATTTTTACGTTTATCAAGGGCTCCTTCATTACGTTAAAGAAACCCATCAACATATTTATTTTTATCATGGTTATAACCAAACTCATCAATCAGCAAATGATATTTACGGTTATCATTGTTTATAACCAACTCATCAATCAGCAAATGATTTCTACGTTTCTCAAAACCTCTTTCATCAGGCTGTAGAAAATTGTCTATTTTGCTCTCTTTTTTTTTTATCAATGTTTTTACCAAACTCATCAATCAGCAAATGATTTATTCGTTTATCAAGAGCTATTTTATTACACAGCATAAAACTGTCAATTTTACTCTTCTTTTTTTGTTATCATGGCTATTGCCAAACTCATCAATCATCAAATGATTTCTATATTAATAAAGAGCTCTTTCATTAGGCTACAAAAAATCTTCAATTTTGCTCTTTTTCCGTTATAAAGGTTATAACAAAAATCTTCAATCAACAAATGATTGTTACGTTTATCGAAAGCTCTTTCATCAGACTGTAAAAAACCGTCAATTTTGTTCGTTTTTTTTGTTATCATGGTATTACATCATCTGCAAAAAATTTCTACTTTTATCAGAAGATTTTTCATGAACCTCTAGAAAACTTCCGATTTTGCTCTTTTTTTTTTATCATTGTTATAGCTAAACACATCAATCAGCAAATGATATCTACATTTATCAAGGTCTCTTTCATCGAATTACAGAAAGCCATCAATTTTGTCTCTCTTGTTGTCTTACCATGGTTATAGCCAAACTCATCAATCAGCGAATGATTTCTACATTTATCAAGAGTTTTTTTCATGAAGTTGCAGAAAACAGTCAACTTTGCTCCTCTTGTTTTTTTTTTATCATGGTTATAGCCAAACGCATAAATCAGAAAATAATTTCTACGTTTATCAATATTTCTTTCTCGAGGCTAAAAGAAACCGTCAATTTTGCTTCTTTTTTTGTAATCAAGGTTATAGCCAACTCATCAATCGGCAAATGATTTCTACAATTATCAAGAGCTCTTTCATCAGGCTGTAGAAAAGTGTCTATTTTGCTCTCTTTTATTGTTATCATTATTATAGCCAAACTCATCAATCAGCAAATGATTTATACGTTTATCAAGAGCTCTTTCATTAGACAGTAGAAAACTGTCAATTTTGCTCCTATTTTTTTGTTATCATGGCTATAACCAGACTCATCAATCAGCAAATAATTTCTAAGTTAATCAAGAGCTCTTTCATCAGGCTGCTGAAAACCTTCAATTTTGCTCATTTTCCGTTATAATGGTTATTGCAAAACTCTCCAATCAGCTAATTACTGATTTTTACGTTTATCAAGATCTCTTTCATAAGACTATAGAAAGCCGTCTATTTTGCTCCTTCTTTGTATTTATCATGGTTATAGCCATACTCATCATCAGCAAAAGATTTCTAAGTTTATCAAGAGCTTTTTCGTGAGTCTACTGAAAACCATCAATCTTGCTCATTCTTTTCGTTATCATTGTTATAGCCCAACTCATCAATCAACAAATAATTTCTATGTTAATAAAGATCTCTTTCATCGGACTACAAAAAACCGTCCATTTTGTCTATGTTGTTCAGTTTTTATTGTTATAGCCAAACTCATTAATGAGAAAACAATTTATACGTTTATCAAGAGCTCTTTCATTACACTGTAGAAAACAGTCACTTCTGCTCCTTTTGTTATGTTATCATGGTTATAGCCAAACTCATCAATCAGCAAATGATTTCTACGTTTATCAAGATCTCTTTCATCGAACTGCAGAAAACCGTCAATTTTGCCCCTTTTTTGTTATAATGGTTATAGGATAACTCTTCAATCGGCAAACGATTTATACGTTTATCAAGATCTCTTTCATAAGACTATAAAAAGCCGTCAATTTTGCTCCTTCTTTGTATTTATCATGGTTATAGCCAAACTCATCATCAGCAAAAGATTTCTAAGTTTATCAAGAGCTTTTTCGTGAGCCTACAGAAAACCATCAATCTTGCTCATTCTTTTCGTTATAATTGTTATAGCCCAACTCATCAATCAGCAAATAATTTCTATGTTAATCAAGATCTCTTTCATCGGACTACAAAAAACCCTCCATTTTGTCTATGTTGTTCAGTTATCATTGTTATAGCCAAACTCATTAATGAGCAAATAATTTATACGTTTATCAAGAGCTCTTTCATTACACTGTAGAAAACAATCATTTCTGCTCCTTTTGTTATGTTATCATGGTTATAGCCAAACTCATCAATCAGTAAATAATTTCTACGTTTATCAAGATCTCTTTCATCGAACTGCAGAAAACCGTCAATTTTGCCCCTTTTTTTGTTATAATGGTTATAGGAAAACTCTTCAATCAGCAAACGATTTATACGTTTATCAAGATCTCTTTCATAAGACTATAGAAAGCCGTCAATTATGCTCTTTCTTTGTATTTATCATGGTTATAGCCAAACTCATCATCAGCAAAATAAACACACGTTTATCTATATAGAAATCATATTCCAAAATAATTCAAAACAAAGCTAAAAAGTGATCTAATTTACATATATGCGGCATGAGCAGTGTTAATAATACGAATCAACTCTTAGTTCTGGCAACGCGATCACTAAGTTTAAGAAAATGGAAACAATTTAAATGCAAGGAGAAAGTTATATGAACCAAGAACTGGTTCTAGCAACAACCATACGAATCAACTCTTAGTTCTGGCAACTCTTAGTTTTGTTACGTACTTGTTTTCCACAATACCATGCAAAGAGTAGAACCCAGAAGAGAGATTTCAGTCACTAATGAGAAGGTAACTGATGAATTAAATATTAAGTTAGCTTTACCATATATGTGATTTCCATCTGCCATTTCTTAATATGTTTTCGTTTAATCAAACTGGAAATCTTAGTTCTCTCCTTACGAACATAAAGAGACTAATGTTTTGAGCCGTGGGTACCATTTTCCTTCCACCAAACATAAGTAAATCTCATTCTCTGTCTAAAGACTAATGTTTTAAGCTGTGGGTACCATTTTCCTTCTACCAAACAGAAGCCAATCTCAGTCTCTGTCTAAAGACTAATGTTCTAAGCCGTGGGTACCATTTTCCTTCTACCAAACATAAGCCAATCTCAGTCTCTGGTCTAAAGACTGATGATGTTTAAGCCATGGATACTGTCTCTTTGTCTAAAAACTGAAAGAACAAAACGAACATGATCCATGTCTAGAGATTTTCAAGCCGTGGGTACCATGAAGGATCAATGGTCGAATCAGCCTCAGTCTAAAGACTAATGTTTGAAGCCGTGGGTACCATTTTCCTTCCACCAAACATAACCCAATCCAATATTTTGTCTAAATAATTCGTTTTCCGAATCTCAGTCTCTATCTAAAGACTGATGATGTTTTAAGCCGTGGGTAACTTGATCTTTGACCAGTAAACTGAAACCAATCCCAAGTATATATGTCGAAATAATAAGCCGTGGATAAAGGATCGGTTTTCAGTCTCAGGTCAAAATTTCCCATAAGCCATGGGTCCAAACTCGACGGGACAATGTGCCAAAGAAAGATTCTAACAAAACACTAATAATTGAGTGTCTGCCTATGATCTCTCTTGGGTTCGAATGAAAAACAAAATAAGAAAGAAATCAAACAAAACAGAAAAACACAAGCAATAAACCACAACTGATCGCAACAATTTCATGCTTATCAAATTATGCAAAGCGCTACAGAAAAAAAAAAAAAACACGAACCAAAAACAAAATCAATTAAAACCAACAAAAAAGAAGAAGAAAGAACTTGTAATTCACAGAAGAAAAAAAACTTTGAAACACGAATTTTTCGGTTGTGCAAATATCAAAAGCCTCTTCAAAACGAAAAAATAAAAACCAAAAGAAAAAACGAAAACATTATAATAGTGAAATTTAGAAATCCTAGAAATCAAGAGGATTTGAAGAATTCTTACAGTAATAATCGCTACAAATCTTCCTCAATCTTGAATGATTACAATCGAGAGAAATATGCGAAACAAAGAAAAAACTTATAATAGTGAAATCTAAAAACCCTATAAATCAAGAGAATTGGAAGATTATTGCTTCAAATCATCTTCCGTCATAAAATATCGATCGAGAGAAATATGCTAATTAGAAAAAGAAGAAGCAAAACAAAATCTGAGAAAATTATGAGTCTCTCTGGTAAGCTGTGTAGATGGAAGCAAAGAAAATCAGTAAATTTATAAGGGTCTATAATGTAAGGAGCAGAAACATGAAAGTATATATGATTACATGTCTATTCATTCGTAATAAATATTACCTAGAGATTCCGAGATTGAAGATCTCCTTAGCAGTTTTCACCTTATTCTTAAACTCCCATGTGCAAAGCATAAGCTATGTAGTAGACAGCATGTGTCTTATCAATCTCATTGACCTCCAAAAACTTGTAAATCACTTTCGCATCAGCGCAATGCTCCGCCTTCAAAAACACAAAAATTATGAGTAACATTGACAAAAAAAAAAATTATTTCGGTATGTAGTGCATGGTAAAAAATTATTTTACATCAGATCCGATGAGAGACAACTATCAATAATTAAACCAACACAAATTATAAAATTGTAAGTAATTTACAAAGAGACATAAGAGAAGCGCTAACTAAAATTAAAGAGGACTCACGATTGATGTAAAAAGTTTGTTAATGAATTTAATGAAGAGGCATGTCTTCATCAACTCGTTCATTCAATCTCTTGATAGAAACTCCCATGAGCGGTTACCTAAAACATAATTCACACGATACAAATCAGCAAAACAATAACAATCTTGATAATTCATAGACCAAGATAATAACAATACAAATATAACCTCAAGAAAAGGTAAAAAATAATAACGCAAAATAAATCGATCCATAAAAGAACCAAAGCAACAAAAAAAAAAGCTATAATATCAAAACGATATGTTTAGGCTAACGAATCTGAGTTCTAATGGTGTGGTTGCGGCTCTATATTTATAGTTTAATATCTAGGGCACACCGTCATAATTATCTCTAAAAATTTATTTTTTAAAATTGGAAAATTTCTTGATAAAAATATTCGTAATATATTTTAGTATCTATCTTAAATTTTTATAAAAATTAAAAAACGAAATATTCTATATTTTAATATTTAAAAACGAAATATTCTATATTTTAATATTAAAAAACGAAATATTCCATATTTTAATAAAATTCACACGATTTTATTGTTTTACCCTCACCAAAAAATAGAAAACTAGATTTGATAGTGTATTCATTAAGGGTGATTAAGACTAATCATCTCAAAACACGATTAGACTTATATACCCCTAATAATTAAGAACAAAAAATTTCGTATCGAGGGTGTTTAGGACATAAGTATAGAGATCAACACACGATTAGACTTATATACCCCTAATTACGAAGAAGAAGAAATTTCGAGAAGAACAATTCATTAAGGGTGTTTAGGACAAATCATTCCAACTTTTAACCACAGGCCTCCAATGCCCTAACTTTGAATATGGTGCGTTTCTACTTCTCAATTAATTATTGTGGAGATTATTAGGTCAATTACCCAATAATCATTTGATGGGCCAAATCCAAGTTCTAGAGTTTTCTCTAGAAATATCATCATCTCACCTCCTTAAAAATTCTAGAAATTCTCTAGAACCATCTCCACCTCCTTAAACATAAAAATCGAGATAATTGTATTATTATAATCTAGATATTATGATAGAATAATCTAGATTTAGGATTAAAATATTTTAGATATTTTGGCTATAAATACCTCCTCCCTCTCTCATTTGTTGTAAGGTTATGAAGTTGTCTTCAAGTTAAAATCAAAGTAATAAAAGTTCTATTTTCTAAAACTCTCTCTCAAATACTTAAACACTTTCTCCATTACCTCTAAAAGAATTTTACTCTAACAATATGCTCGTAATCAATTGTAAAGCTTAGTGAAGCTCGTACATTACAAACTTAACCAAACTTAAATCAAAATTAAGACTGAAAGAAGCAGACTATAAACCGCATTACACTCAATACCTTAGTCACCAGCTGAATGAATCCTTAGTCTTAGCAATTTTGTTTTTGTATGAACTCTCAATTTCTTCATGTAGACTATTGCATTAACATATTATCACTCTTCCAACAACTACATCACAACCGTTTTACATAGTTTTCAATATGATCAAGCACCAATCCAAAACCGTGGGTAAAAGTAGAGCAATGAGAGATTTACCTTGCAGGATTTTAGTAACCGTTTTAGGAAAGAGGATCTGGAGAAGTTGATTGATTTCCCAAGTAAACTACTATCTGAATCTGCAGGTGTTAAATAACTGTAATGATTTATGCTAGTAAAGTCTAACCCAAAATAATTCAACACTGATAGGATTAGAGAACGTACTATCATCATCCACATCCATATTGAGGCCTGCTGAGTTGATTTCTTCTATGATCTGAAAACAGTTTGAAAATGAATTATGTAGCATAAGGAAAAATCCATACGTATCAGATTATCTATTATATTACCTGTGAAAGTGTTGGAACTTCCAATAATGGATCAAACTCATCGCAGTTATTCGGATCAATAGGAACACAGACACGACCTGAAAGCCAGAAGACCTATATTAAGAATTTGACCTCACAGACATATATCGAACTAAGTATGAACATGAGTCTAATCAACTGGTATGATATATTCAAGAAACAATGAAAGGGACCTGTGTTTGGATGGACACAGAAGGGTGCCTTAAGCAAATGGTTCATTTATTTGGAGACCTGAAATAAAAGAAGGAACCATACAACTTAACCGTCACTAAACTTGTCAGGTCTCCATGATCTTGTATAGCCAGGAAAAATATTTACCATAATAGCACCGTGGGTTTAAGAAAAGGAATTGTAGCATAGAGTAGAACTAATCTCCAAATCAATTCGAGGATATATAAAGTTGAAGACAATTTCTTCTACGCATGTCCGCAGTGATAGAGCCTACAAAATTGGATACAGAATTGAAGATGAGCAAATCTAGGATTCAAGTTCATCAAGCTAATAGCTGAGTGAAAGAAGTCTCGGCTTTTCACAACACTAACATACATGTTTTCAGTTCGTATAAAACATCACACACCTTGTTGTTCTTTGATTGAAGCGTTTTAAGCTGCTCCCACCTTAAAAGGCTGGTGGCTTCTTCTGATGGAGATGATCTCGCAGAATTCTCCCACTCCCCTCTCAGCTCTGATTGAATATTTGTCATGAAGATGTAAATCATTGTAAATGACCAAACTGAGATTAGGACGTCGCTTATATACATCAACACTCTTTCATACCTTCATCTGTTATCATGCCAAGTATCTTCTCATATTTTTCTTTGCTTGAGAATATACTTTGAGTTGCATGTAACTCATCCTCAAAGAAATTCTTTAAAAAGTCCACACATGATCTCCTGAAAGCCCTGAAGAAATTAGTAGCAAAGACAGTGTTTTTGAAATCGGAAAGGCAGAGGTGATGGAGAAACCCGTACGCGAGAAACGGTTGATGAGAATGACCCATCAGATCGACATTTTTGGCACTGTTCTCATTTCCCTGTGTCACATGTTTATAATTAAACTCAAGAGAATTTCGCAATGCCAGAAACCACCAAAATACACCATAATTAGCTCTTCAAAACACTACCTTTATAAACACGGAAGTATTCAGAGACTGCTGATCTTTGTTCATCACAACCAGGATGTTTCCTATCTATAGATTTACAAACACAGACAAATATACAATCCACCAAACTTGTTATAAGCTTTCATTTGAGAAAAAAAAAAAAAAACAGGAGTAAATACAAGTACCGTTCTCAACCCAATGTTGTCTTCCTTCTTTGCTATGTCATAATCACCAACCTACCAACACATGAAATTCTACTGTTATAACAACTTGTAAAACTACCAAATCAATACCAAGACGTAACAAAACTGATATTTTGGTGAGTAAAGTAAAAGACCTAATTAATATGTGGGTACTTGATGGGCAAGGACGAAACGATGGAAATAAAAGAAAATGAGTAAGTTATTTACCAGTGCAGAGAACGATGATCCAACTCCCAAAATAAAAGCAAATCATTATTGCCTTGTATGAGATCAAACTCCATAAGTTCCACGTGCATCGTAGTTGAAATTTAGATATTGCAAAGATTTATAAAAATAATATCGATTCCAAAAACAACATATTAGAATTGATTAAATAGCGTACCTTTACCATCAAATGTGAAGTCACAAACCGACACGGAGTTAGAGTCACCAGATGGATTACTAAAAGTATAAACACACCAAAACAAAAAGTTTTTGAGGAGAAATTAGTGTATCTAATTTCCTATAACCACTATTAAACTTTTTCATAGAAGTCCAACACCACTAAGCTGCCCATAAGTTCTTCAACCATACAAATAGTGGAAATAAAACATAATAAAAGTGGTGAAATTCTCTGGGGTACCTCGTCACAGATGGCAAGTCAAAGGCATGTTTCATTGTTGCTTCTGTCAATAGTCCATTACCTTCACCTGACAGCTTTAAAGGTAAAAACTTCCTTAAAACAAAGCGAATTACGGTTTATTATACGTATAATTTTGGAAAATCATTTACAGCAAAAAGATCTATTGTTCTTGATGACCAACCAGGGATGCAGGATGTACCATAATGTATACATAGGAAATAGAGATTAATTCACAATAATCGATCAAACCAAAAAATAAAAATACAAACGCACTGAAATTAAAACAAACACTAATAATACCTTATCATACTTTCTTTTTTACTTCAGCAACTCGTTTGTCTAAACTCGTTTTTATCGAAGCTTCACGATCGGTATACCTAAAACAGAAATCAAAAGATACAAAATCAGTAAAAAAAATAATAATAATTCGTAGAACAACCAACAAATTCATATAACAAAAAGCATAATCGCATGATAAGAAATTCGATAAGAAATATAAAAAACCCTAATATCAAAACTATTTATTGAACATAAAAATCTGGTTCGTAACTGTGGGGCAGAAACTCTGTATTTATAGCCTCAAACTTAGGGCAAACCTCCCATATTATCTTAAGAAATTTAACTTTTTTAATTAGAAACTAAATCAGAAAACTAACAAAAACGAATATTAACTACTAAGATATAGAATTATCCAAAAAATTAACAAATAAATTTAAGCTAAGATTCCATAATTCTTAAAGTCGAGACATTATGACATTCGTATCCCCAACGATTACACTATATTAAAAAAAAAATTAAGGGTGATTAAGACTAATCATCACGAAACACGATTAGACTTATATACCCCTAACAATTAAGAACAAAAAATTTCGAAGTCGAGGGTGTTTAGGACATTATTATAGAGATCAACACACGATTAGACTTATATACCCCTAATTACGAAGAAGAAGAAATTTCGAGAAGAACAATTCATTAAGGGTGTTTAGGACAAATCATTCTAACTTTTAACCACAGGCCTCCAATGCCCTAACTTTCAATATGGTGCGTTTCTACTTCTCAAATAATTATTGTAGGGTTAAGTTACTTTTGGGACCACAAAGAGGAGCCTTTGTGTTTTGTCATCTTGTGCACTAGGTTTAAGGATGTCTCCTTGTATTTAAGTAGTTGGGGACGTGAGAGAGATTGTAGCAGCACACAATGTAGAAAGAGGGTGAGAGAGGAACACATAGAAAGCATTAGCTTTGGGGTGCGTTTTCTCATTAGAACAAGGGTGTGATACAGAGTATTAGTGTGTTAGCGAGAAGGTGTTTTCACATTGTAATATCTCTTGTATCTTTGTTCATTTCTAGTGGATTCCGAGACAAGGTCTCGGCGAGATGTAGGTAGTGTCACATTGACACTGCTGAACTCGTTAAACGTGTGTGTGCTCCCTTCTTCTCTATTCTCATCTCTAATATCTCTCTGCTCTGTTTTCTTGCTGCAACAAAAGCCTCTCTGTTTTAACAAATCCGTTTTTGCACCAAACTACTTTAGTCTTGGTTGTATGAGGTTCATGCTCTAGAAAGTTTAAGTTTTTTGAGCTTATTCCCAAACTGAAAATATTCCCAAACTGAAAATGGAGTAATTATCAAATAATATACTACAAGTTAAGCAAATTTTAGTCTTACCAGTTAATAAATGCTTACAATGTAAATATCTTAATTTGGTAGGGAAATTAAATTTGAGTACGATATGCTGAAGTGAGCAGCAATGTGAAGCCAGCGTTTATTTGTCTGCGATAGTCTACTTGACTCTCTCTATTGAATAATCGGCTTGAAACTAGAATAATTGACAAATTCCGAACAGTACATTAATGACTTAAATGCTGACTTGGATAAATACTTATATACATAAATATATATATATATATATATATATATATATATATATATATATTTAAAACATGATATGTTCTGTACAGTGTACAAGCCAACTCTGCATAAAATGGTACAATATGAATTCGAAAGTGACATGTAGATTAAGAAGTTGATTGGTTTACTCGGTGAAAGAGCTAATTTGTTTTATATAGAAGTTATACTCTAATTATAGAAAGTGGATAGTATGAACTGATAATCGAAACTTGGGTACATAATACCATATATTAATAATAATGTAACGAAAGGAACAAAATCTAAAGATGCAGTAAGTTCTTGCCGCGTGGATTACATGAGACGGTGCCATTGAGACCCACATGCTTATTCGAAACGTGCTCCTTTACGAGAACGACGCGGCCTTTTTTCCCTTCAATTCCAATAGTATATGTGAAAGTGAAACAGACGGAATAAGTGATGGTCTGATGAAAAATGATTGAAATAAGTGTGATGCAAACTTGTAAATATAAGAATTTCAAAAACCTTTTTTATTTATTTACAAAGAAAATGAAAACATAACATTTTTAAATGTCTTATATATATTTTTTAAAAAAGTTTCATATATATATATATAAATGTCACATATATATATATATATATATTATCTTTAACATATTATTAATAAATATTGATTAAAAATTATATTAAAATCTTTCAATATATCCATCTTTTTATATATTATACTCCTTCCGTTTCATAATATAAGTCATTCTAGATGAAAGCACGCCAATTAAAAAGATATACTTTTAAAAAGTTCAACCAATCATAAAAGAGACTACATAATATAAATAATCATAAAATATTAAAGTAATATATAATTTGTATCGAAACTCGAAAACGACTTATATTGCGAAACAAAAAACTTTTTCCAAAACGCCTTATATTATGAAACGGAGAGAGTATATTTTGTTTATAAAAATACATTATTTAACTTTTAAATATTAGAGACCATTTAAAATTTGATAAATATGTGCGGCTTTTGTTGATTAATTAGAACATATTAGAAAACTTAGTGAATTACTGAATTTGATTAAAGAGTTACAGTATTACATTATCTTATCAAATTCAAACCCGTATATAGCCTACAATTCACTCAAATTATCTTAAATCAATTAACAAACAAAATGTATTTTAAATCATATTTGACTAAATTATTTTGTAAAAACACACACACGAGCAGAACATGATGTTTTTTTTTTTGTCAAACGAACATGCTTGTCTTCGTGTACCTTTTTCCGCCTACAGACAGTGAAATGTAGCTTATATGCTTTTATTTTCTTCTGTTTAACCACATTCATGTAACTAATAATTTCGACGAATGGTAGCAAAATACGGCCATAGAAATGCTAAAAAGGTATATATCACGTTTATGTTTCAATTCATTGGCTATAAAAGGTCCCTAGTCACTCCCTTTTGTTTTTAAATCTTCACACCATTTGATCCCACCAAAATGGATCATTCAGAAAACGTTCCATCTAATGATCAACACGAAAATGTCACCCTTGTTGCACCATCAGAAGGTGATCACCTTCTTCTTCGTACTTGACAAGAAATCAAGAGCACGAGATCATGGTCTCTGCTCTGCAACAAGTGATATCTAACTCCAGAGCTGACGCGTCATCATCAAACTTGATCGCAAGCGAAGGTCTTCCGCCTCCAGACGCTGGCCCTTGTCCTTATTAGGACATAATGTTCCACATCGGAAGTTGGAAGGGATCCTAAGTAATATATAAGGGATATGGGCCACTCCACTCATTGCCAATTGGTTTTGAGTTAGAAGCCCATATTCTAATATGGTATCAGAGCCCGATCCACACACATCCAACCCGATCCGACCCAAAGATGGTCCAATCATCGACAAGGCCCAAAATTGATGCCGTCGATCTAAGCCCGAACATTTCGAGATTAATGGCCAAAGAGCCATCATCTCGAAGGGGCGTATTAGGACATAATGTCCCACATCGGAAGTTGGAAGGGATCCTAAGTAATATATAAGGGATATGGGTCACTCCACTCATTGCCAATTAGTTTTGAGTTGGAAGCCCATATTCTAATAGTCCTCTCTGTCGCATCACCGGTTGCGAAGGCTGCACATTACAACGGCCGCACCGAGAGATAGAGAAGGAGAAGAAATACAAAGGAGTGAGGAAAAAGCCATCGGGTAAATGGGCGGCGGAGATATGGGATCCGAGTTCGAAATCAAGGAAGTGGCTTGGAACGTTTCTAACGGCAGAGACGGCGGCGAGTTCTTACGATGAGGCTGCGCGGAGCTTGTCAGGAGAACATCAGCAAGACGTGGCAAAACGAACGGAGGAAGAATTAAACGGCGGCGGAGATGACTGAGAAGGACATGGACACATGGTCGGTGATCATACACGGCGAAGTGGAAATGTTTTTTTCACTAAGATTAATTATTTTAATTAATTCTAAAAAATTTCATTGTTTTTTGTATGAAGATCAGTAAGATTTTTTCTCTATGCTATATATTAGACTATTAATTATGGTCAGTTTAATGAAGTTCAAAAATATGAATGGAAGATACATGAAGAAATTGAATTAATAGAGGTTTATAATTATTGGGACTGTTTAGTGTAGAAAACGGTGCATACAGTATTATTGGAAATCAAAATGATTATTAATAACACAATATTAAATGTTTTAAATATGTTTGAGAAAATTATTAAAAAATCAACATTTATGAAAGAGATGGAGTATAAACTTTTGGTTAATACAATATTGTGAATGGTAAAGTGTTCTGGTAAATATGATATGACATATCCAAATGATTATGCCAGAAGATTGCCTTTGCTTAGTTGGCTATATTAACCTCTAACGAAAATTAGTTGATGGATATTTTGAATTTACCATTTGATATTTAGATTGTATACTTTTATATTTACACCGACCGCACCAGCTATCGTGTTGACCTTGCATGCAGTGCCGGCTCAACATTTTTATGGGCCCTAAGGCAAAAAAAAATTTTTATACTATTTTTGTTAAAAATATTAATTACTAATACTAAAAACAATAAATAAAAAATTTTATAGACTTTTTTAAATTTTATTTTTGTGTTATAATCTAATTTTTTAATATTTTTAAAAAAATATTTTAGAAAATGAACCCTTAATTATTGGACTACGGGATTGGACCCCTGGCCGTCGCACCGCCCGCCCACCCATCTGAGCCGGCAGTGCTTGCATGTAACATCCCACTTTTTTCCTCTGATTTTTGTATGGAACCCTATGTTTTATACATCAATATCTAATTATTTATGCGTAAAATATATATATTCACGCAAATATACGTCCTTAAAGGAAAAAGAGATTTCCAGGATAATTCGTGAAGAAAGGGAAGATTTTGAAAGGTGGCCACCATCCGAAAGATTTCAGGAACTCGCATGGCATGAGATGGAATGGGGAACTTAACCTTAGGAAAAATTTGGAACGTTACAACTTAGGGCCTACTAATTGAAGAAATAATAGGCATCAATCAGCGACTTATCCCTAGTAACCGAAATAATCAACACTAATCAGTAATTTCTACGTACTATCTCTCTCGTAACTTACAGAAAACATATAATGATTTTGATGGCTCATCATCTCGGAGAACTAAATACCCACTTCCCACTTCTCATGTACTTTCTCTGTCTATGAATATACGTTTAAGTGTTTATGTATATATACACATACACACGATTAGTAGTTTCCTCCTTCTAAAACAAAAGAACGTTACAATATATCTATATACCTTTTATTTTCAATCGAAATGGCTGATCAAAAACCTCTAATGGTCTGGTCAGAGGCCAACAACTATGAATCATTCCTTCAAGAAGACATATTCTCGTTTCTTGATCAATCACTTTCCATCGATCCTCACAGGTAAGTCACAGGTAACTGTTTGATTAAACAAAAAAAATGATTTGCTTGCGTTAGAAGAATCTAAAATACTTTTTGGGTTGTTTTGAGTTTTTGCAGCTCTTTCATTAACCCTTTTAAGGATTTTCAAACCCAAACTTGGTTTTCTTTCCAAGACAGCATTGTTAATCCTATATCTACTACCTTTGCGGCTGATCATACGTTTCTGGCTTCACTTGATCTTGAAGCAATCTCTAGTACTTTCTCTCTAGGTATATATATACATATATGCATGTAGATATACACACACATATATGCAAGTTTGGATTGTAATTCTAATCTTATATACATTGTGTAGCAGATATAATGAGCGGATGGTGGAATGATAATAATGGTAACTACAATAACCAGGTCGAACCAATTCTTGATGATATTTCAAGAACTAATACCATGGGAGATCCAAAGATGGAGAAGATATTGCATGAAGATGTTAACACAACTATAAAAGAGAAAACAAGCCAGAAGAGGATAATTATGAAGAGGCGATATAGAGAAGATGGAGACATCAATAGTTTGTCAAGGGAAATGATGAAGCAGTACTTCTACATGCCGATAACTAAAGCAGCCAAGGAGCTTAACATTGGTGTAACCCTCTTGAAGAAAAGATGTCGTGAGTTAGGTATTCCTCGTTGGCCTCACCGTAAGCTCACGAGCCTTAACGCTCTAATTACCAATCTCAAGGTGCGTGCGTCAACACAGACATATATACAATCGACTTGCTTATACATTTTGGGGTTAGTGTAACACTTATATATGTGATGGTCGTTTTGAAAGGACTTATTAGGGAACACGGAGGGAAAAACGCCCAAGAGTAAGCTGAGGAATGCTTTGGAGCTTTTGGAGATGGAGAAGAAGATGATTGAGGAAGTTCCGGATTTGGAATTTGGGGACAAGACTAAGAGGTTAAGACAGGCTTGCTTCAAGGCTAAATACAAACAGAGACGGCTCTTCTCGTCTTCTTCATGAGAGCAAGAGCTCGTGTGTAGAGAGATCTAACCTTCTATGACTTAAGTCAAGTTTGGTACTATATGACGAGGCGTGCAAAACCAAGATAAGAGTACTAGCTAGTCGTCTCTTTTGATTATAATCTAATTCTCATGAAACTTGGATCCATTCCAGTTTTTATTTTGTTTTTTGTTTTGACTTTTTAGTTTTTTAGTTGAATTGGTGGTCTTTTACAACTAAAAAATTCGAATGAATCGTTTTTCTTTTTATTTGATTCGATTTGGTTTTTATTGGGCTTAAATTAGTATTTGAGAAAGCCCAAACAAAGTAATAATCAGTCATGGCCCAATTTATCCACCGCACCGCATTCCAATAGTGAATTTGCTAAAGATCAACGGTGAACTGATCAATAAATCATGAACATCGACAAACTACAATTTTATGATGATCACTTACTCACTAGAAAGAGTTACATATAACACAACTTGTATTTGGATATTAGAGACAAGAGAGAATCACAAACACACTCGTGACATACACGTGTCAAAGTCTCTGCCCATTTCACGGACAAGAGAAGACATCGCCACTATCAATCCACCGATAATGATCAGCATCGACGGTGGCTCCGTCATTAGCCGCGGTGGTGTGGAGAAGACTCTTGATTTTGTGAATACATTTGTGGTTGCGGATGCGGTTTAGAACGGCTCTTCTGTTCAGCGTTTGCGTTTCAGACGATATCAGATGTAGCTGCTTTGACACTAACACTTGCTCCTCTTTCAAACTCACCTCTCCTTCCAAAATCACAAACTCCATTGTAGTAGAGATAAAAAGAAAAAAATAGAAAGC